ATCCCCCCCCCCCCCCCCCTACCCCTTGCAGATTGCGCTGCTGAAGGGGCAGGAGCTCCACCGTCACCCTACCAGCATCTAGGGACCCCCCTCCCCAACACCCACAGAGACCGGCACAACTCATCGCACGGGTGTGGGGGGGGAGCCATCCCTGTGCTCAAAAACCACATTGATTTTTGTCTCATCATTCCCTTTTCTCAAGCAAAAAGCCGCACTTTACCGACGAAACGACGACACTCATGTATTTTTGATACAGGTTGGGGCTCGACGGGTGGTTTTTCCCATTTTTCTATTGCAATTTTTAACAAAAAGTTTAGAAATACTCTTTTTTTAGCCCCAGGAGAGCCCTGTCTCAGCTGATTTATTTCCCTGTGATGTTCCTGCAGCCCTCGCAAGCCCTGACACTCACCAGATCCTAATTTTTCCCCTTTTTTCTAACAAAAAACTACTTGAGGGTGGTGGTTTGGGGTTTTCTTTTAGCAAATGGTGGGATTTTTATATCACTATTTTTGGAGTTTGAAGTTTTTACTGGTGCTACAGGGCTGAGCCAAGCCGAAAGAACACCTGCATTGAGGTGGTGGCTTTGAGCGCGGCACTATTACGTGTGGATAAACCCAACTGACAGCCCATGAGGGTTTTTTTTGGGGGGGATGCCCAAATGAATGTGCATTGGGATAACAGGATTGATTCAGGTCCATCAATAATAAAAAATAATAAATAACAAAAAATAATAATAAATAACAAAGAATAAATACTAAGAAATAGTTATTATTATTATTCTTACTACCACTTTAGAGGAGAGCTGCAGGGATGCACCAGAGCCCTTAAGCATCATCTTTTTGGGGTGCTGGTGCCCCCCTCTCCTTGTTTTAAGCCTATTGGGTGGGGGTTGAGCCCCAAGGGAAGGATAAATCCCTTGTGCCCCTGCAGCCATGAGGATGGGATGGGGGAGCATGATGGAGAAAACTCAACGCCAAACACCCCAGGCTATTTTCTATAAGAAAACTGGAAAATATAAGACCTGCACCCTGCAAGCTACACACTATGTAAGAGAGCAACAGGCTCTAGAGCTGTACATAAGAGAACTAGAGCCTATAAGAGCTATAGACAGTTGCATGCTGTTAAGAGATCTACACATTATATGAGAGCTGCACAATGTATATGAGCATACAGAATATAAAGAGCTGCACAGTATACAAGAAAACTGCATGCTATGCGACAACTACACGCTCTGAGAGCTATATGAGAGCTGTATGCTGTATATGAGAGCTGCACACTATATAAGAGAACTGTGTCCTATATGAGCTGCACACTATATGAGAGCTACACTACACAATTTCTAGTACAAGACCTGGAGAAACTCCCCAAGCCAAACCCCTAAAGCCCACGCTATTTCCTATAAGTGACCCGAAGCCCAACCTTCACCCTCTTTTCTATAGGGGAACCTGAGCCCTAAACACTGCAAGACCCGAGCAGAGACTCACCCTCCACCTTCTTCTATAGGGCAACGAAGCAACACTGCAAAATCAAACCCCAAAACACCCATTATTGTCTATAAGAGACTCAGAAATTTGCCGTGAACACCTATGTACCGCACTTCTTTCTATAAGAACCCCCCCCAATGAAGCCCTTTCCAAGCCATGCTATTTCCCCCTCACAACTGCCCCCAAACCAGACATTTTACAAGCCCCAAAACACCCTAAAACACCCCCAAAATCATCACCCACAGCCCCTCCTCTGCCCAGGGCTGGATGGCCAGGAATTGCTCAAATCATCAGAACACCCCCCCCATCGCCAAAAATCAGAAAATCCCCCCCCAAAAAACGAGTCGAGAGCCGCAGCGACCCTTACGCTTTATCTCTTGGATACTCTACGTAGAAAACAGGGGGGGCAGGGGCTCGCACCGCCCCCCCTTTACAATATAATAAGGAAAGTAATAAAAATAATACCCCCCCCCTTTTTTTTTTAATTATTATGTGCACAAAAAATGGACTTTTTTTTTTTATGCTCTTTCATGCACGGTTTCTTTAGCACCACGGTGAAGATCCAGAGTGGGATGGGTACCCGGGAGAGGAAGATGGGAAGGGGTTGGGATCCCGGGATGCGGCTGGCGAAGGGGGGTCCCCTCGAGCTCAGCATCCGCCGCAGCTGCGGGCGCAGGATGCAACAACGGTTTGGCAGAGCCCGCTGGTGGCCATCACCCCGCACTTAGAAAACTTGTCGCGGCAGAGATCGGCTGCGGGGATAGTGGGAAAGAAATAATCCGTGGATGTAGGAAAAATGAGGGGGCAGAAAAACAGCGAGGGACCCCCCCCAATTGGGATGGGGACATCATGATGCTGCAAGGGGGTGGCTCAGCCCCAGTTTGGTCCACTGGTTGCGGAGCGATTCCTGGAGCAACTTTGGTTGTTGGGATTTCCCCCCTCCCCCTCCCTGGGAAAAGGGGGTGACCCAGATGGGGATGACCCCAATTTGGGGTGCATCTCCCCCCCTCCCTTACCTCGCAGCAGCTCTTCGTGGGCACACACGGTGCGGACGCAGATCTCCTTGTTGATCACGTAAACGCGTCGGAGGCTAGATGTGTGTGGAGGGAGATAAAAAAAGATGGGGGTGGGGGTTTAGTGCAAAAGCAGAGTGGGGTCCCCAAAATATGGGGGGCGGGGGGTGTCAGGGAAGCTCCCCCCCCCGGCTCGCCTGTAAAAGCAGATCTCATTCAGGCACTGCTTGCAGGGCTTGTGCACGGAGTAGAGCCTGGTGCAGGGGTACTGCTCCTCCCGGCAGTCTGCAAGGAGAAAAGGCAGCTGGTTTCTGATGGGGGTCTGGGAAATCCATGGCGGAAGGCCTGACGCCCCGGGGATGGACTTAGCATCCACTTGACACCTTCCTCCCTGCCCCCCAATTTTTGCCCCGGGTATGAGTGTGGCAGCACATCCTCACCTTAGCTGGGCTAAAAGGGAGGATGAAACCCCCTCCGGGGACTGAGGAAGGGGGGATAAGCACTCACCGAGGGGTCCTGGCTCCGTGGGCTCAGTCTCAGGGGCAGCAGCTGCAGGAGGAGGAAGAGCAAATTTAGGGCTGGAGCAAAAGCATCTCGTTGCCCTTTCCCTGGGTTTTAGGGCTGGAGCATCCTGACGCTGGCACCGGTGAAGCTGCTCCAGAGCGGGGAGCACAACCAGGCTAAGGGTGCACGGGAGGGATGGAGACCCCAAGTCCTGGGGTGGGGAGGGGGCTGGTGGCTGCCACCCACCTGGGGTCGGGGCCGGCACGATTTCCTGCTGAGATTGCTGCTGGGACTGGTACCGAAACTGCTCCTCGGGGGCACGGGGGGTGACATCTGCAAGGAGAGGGACAGTGCGGGCACACCCCAAAAACCTACCCCCTCCCCACCCCGGCATCCCGCAGGGGAATCACTTACCGTGATAGTCGTAGTAATCCTGAATTTCTGGGGAAATAAACCAGAAAAGGGAGCAGAGGCTGAGGATGGGTTTTAGGGAGAAAACACACCCTATCGGGGCCAGGACTTAGCAATGAGCTCCCCAAAATTTTGCAGCTAGTTTTAGTGATCAGAAAACATGCCCCAGCCACCCCAGGAATGAACTTGGGCAACATCCCACCAGGGTTTTTTAAAGCTTAATTAAGGCTTAATAAATAATTGGCAGTGCGAGGAAGGGGAAAGGAGAGGCTTGTGTACAAGGGGGAGGTGGCAAGGTGTTAGGAGGAGGTTGGAAATTAAGGGGCAGGCGAAAAAGGATGGAGCAAAGAGTACTGAAGCAGAAAGAGGCATCAGACTGGTGTTATTTGGCCAGAGAAAGCAAAAAAGAAAGGAAAAAGAGGGGAGAGAGAGGTGCGTGAAGCCTCTCCCAGTTCAGGGTGCTCTAACCTGATTGCTGGTCGTACTGGGAATATTGTACCGGCTCAGGGTAGGTGATGCCTTCAAACCTGCTGTACTGTCCCTGGACCAGGAGCACTGCTGGGGAGACAAGAGTTGGGGGGTGAAGCATCACCAGAAGGGGGACAGACACCCCCAGCCCAGGGATTCAGGGTTCCCTGCTCTGCCTCCGCCTCTCCAGCTTCACATCGTCCCCCAAAATATCATCCCATAGTTGTCCTCAGGGGCACATTGCCCAGAGAAGAGGAGGGAGAGGAAAGTGGGATGCTCACCGTCGGGGGACGAGCACCACCAGGATTCCTCCATTATCCCGTCGCAGCCGGGGATGAACCCGGGTGATCCCAATGTCTTGCAGCATCCGGGTACCACAACCCTCCCCGGAGAAAGGGTCAGCATCCAGCTGACTCCAGTGATGCTCCTGACACCCCAGGGGACCAGGGCATCCCCCTTGCAGACACCCTGGGAACTAATCCTGCCACGGATCCAGGGGGCCAAACGGGGTTCAAATGCGAGTGTGCATGAGTTGATGCGATCACGCAGGCAGAGTGTTTCATGGGGGGGGGGGGAATCAGGTCACCCCCCATCCCCGAAGCACAGCAGGGACCCATCCCCGGGACACGCTGTGATGCCCCGTGGTCCATCCAGCTGCTGCATCCTTCCGCATCCTCGCAACAGGCAGCATCCGTGAGCAAAGCATCACCGGGAACTGTGCCGGGATGGGACTTATCTTTTCTGCCCACTACCCCCCATGCTGCCCCCCCACCCCTTCCCCAGGCTTCCTCGGCCTCGCCTGCTTAATGTTTTCCATCTGTTCGCTAGCCTTTGTGCCGAGCTGGTTTCGCCCAAAGTTTTCCTGGCTCCAGGCTCTTGGGTCCGTCACCTCCCTCCTCGTTTCCATCCCGCCTTTGCCAGACCCCCAGGGGGTTACAAATATAATTTTTTTGGATGTCGTCCCGGCCCTGAGGTGCCAATTTTGAGCCACCCCATGGTGCCACCTCAATGTCCCCAAAGCAGGAGGGACTCGCTTGGTGCCCTTACACCCTCCGTGCCCCCCCCAAACCTAGAGCCAGTCCCAGCCCAAATACGACACTACGCTGGGGTTTTGGGTTAATTTTGGGGCATAACAGGTGATGAGGTGATGCTTGTCCCAGATGGGTGCAGGCACCCAAGCATCATTGTGGGTGGTAGCTGGCTCCTGGGCTTTAAGGGGGTGTCACCTTGCCTTGGGGACCCCCGGGGAGGGGGCACTCACCTGGCAGACACAGCAAGAAGAGCCCCACCGCTCTCATCCTGACAGCAGCGATGGAGGAGCAGTGTGGGCCGGGATGCAGCCGGAGGAGTCTGGATGGGGCAGAGGGAAACACAGAGGGGTTAGCGGAGTGTGTGTGGGGGGGTGTGTGGACACACAGACCCCCAGACCCCTCCATTCCCCATCTTCTACATGACACCCCCCACATCTCTGCCTGAGACACTCCCAGGGGCTGGCTCAACCCCCCCCCCCAACCCAAACCCTAAAAAATGAAGAAACTTCCCCCCCAAAAAGGCAGGCTGGGCTTCCTGCCCTGACCGCGTGCTCCCAGGGGAATTGCAAGGACCAAGCCCTGAAATATCCTGCGGGCAGGATGGGGGATGAGAAATTCTGGGATGTCTGAATCACCACCATGGGGGAGACATCTGGACACCCCCCTGGTGATAACAGACTCATGAGCTCGAGATCTGGAAGCTCCTTTCCTGTGGTTTTCAGCCCCGTTTCTTGGCAAAGGGTTTATTTTGGGGGTCCCTGCCACCGGGGAATGCTGCGTTTGCTCGGGCATCCCCTAAATCCAAGGGGATGTGGAGATTTGGGGAGGGAAAAATGGCTTTCAGGAAAAATCCCGCGCTGGGGTTTGGCAGCCTTGGGCGCTCACAGCTCCCCAGCGCTTTCCAAGTGGCGATTTGCATGTCGAGCGTCTGCTTTTCCCGGCGGGGAGACGGGCCAAGGCCGGCTGTGCCGCCGGTAAGACGGGCCCCCTTCCCCGGCGCGGGCTGGCAGGGATGCCGGCTGCCCTTCCCCCTCGTCCCGAGCCAGCTGCAGGGGAAAATTGGGGGGAAAAAAAAAAAAAAAAAAGAGAAATTCTCCCAAAGAACTCCTTCAAAACCCAACTGAAGGTGTTTGGCTGTTGGGGATAAAGCTCGTCGGCGTTCCCGGCACACCGAGATGCCGCAGGGATGGGAAACCCCTCCTGGCATTCCTGGCTCTGCTGCCGAAGCAGGGAAACTGAGGCATGGGTGGAGATAAGCCGAACCCATTGGTATCTCACCCTTGTGGAGGAGGAACATCAGCACCCCATGCCAGGAGGCACCGAGGCACCCACCCCGGCTCCCAGCTGAGCCACAGCTCTGTGCAGCACCCAGGATGAGAACGCGGGTCCAGCCCCAGCACAGCATGGTCCCTGCTGGGTTTCAGACCACACTGGGGAAGGTGGGGTCAATGGGACTAACTGCACCATCACCAGAGCGTGGCATCTTCTAGAGACCATGGCCTCACCATCACCAAAGCATAGCACCTTCTAGGGACCATGTCCTGCACCATCCCCATAGTCCTGCACCTTCTAGTCACCATGGCTTCAAAATCACCAAAGCACAGCACCATCCAGTGACCACATCCTGTGCCATCACCATAGTGTTGCATTTTCTAGGGACCATGTCCTCACCACCACCAAAGCGTAGCACCTTCTAGCCACCATGTCCTCACCACCACCAAAGCGTAGCACCTTCTAGCCACCATGGCCTCAAAATCACCAAAGCACAGCACCTTCTAGTCACCATGTCCTCACCATCACCGTAGTGTTGCATTTTCTAGGGACCACATCCTGCACCGTCACCAAAGCGTGGCACCTTCTAGTCACCACATCCCCACCATCACCAAAGCGTAGCACCTTCTAGCCACCACGTCCTCAGGATCACCAAAGCATTGCATCTTCTAGCAATCATGCCCTTGCACCACCACCATAGTTGCATCTTCTAGGCACCTCATCCTCCTCCATCCCTGGGCTTGCAGCTACTGGGGATGTTGACAACGGACTTCCAGACCCCTCCCAGCTTTGGGAAAGCCAGAAAGTTGGTCCCTACCCAAGCTGGGATCAGACAACCAAGCTCAGCTGACAGTCAGAGTTTGGTGGTCCCAAACGAAGTGCCCAGCAGCACTCCGTCACCAACCCACGGCCACACCGCGGTGAGATCCAGGTCCCTACAAGCCCCATCTGCTTCCCATGGCAAAGGAAGCCCCAGACCCGGGTTTAACCGAGGCTAAACATGTCCTGGGATAAAGGGGATTGCGCAGGGATGAGCGAGATCAACGCACGGCTCTGGGTTTGGCGGGTGCTTGGCAGGGGTCCGGGAGGCTTTATCGAGCCTTAGAGGCTGCTGGCAGACCTTGGGTTTGGGAAAGCAGCTGGGTCCTGGCCAGGACAGGGCTGCTACAGGGGACTGGCGGGGTTTGGGGCTACCTTGAGGTGGCAGAAAGGGGCTGTAGATGCCCATCCTGACCTTTGCTGGTTCTCCAGATGCTGGGATCCCATGGGATGCCGGCGCCAACATCCCACGGCCCCAAATCACCCTGACCTTGTACACGTATCCCACCCAAGACAGCTTGGGGCAAGGCTGCGGGGCAGATGGATGCCCACTTCCAGAGGCATCACACCCCGTCCTCCCGTCTCTCCAGCGATCCCTAGGACATGGCCACACAGCTCCAGATTAACATGCCCTGCCAGCCCCTTTTTTACCCCCAAACAGCCTGCAAATGCCCAAGACTTCTCTTGAGGTCTAATTCCCCCTGAATTTCCCCCAAACACGGAGATCTTGGACGGAGCTTGCACGGTTTGGCTGGAGAACGAGGACAGACGGGTCACGTCTTCCCGCGATGGTGATGCCAATGTCTTCTCCACCCGAGGGAGAACACCGAAGCGCCCGCCGCCACCTCCAACGCAGCTGGGAGCGATGCCGAGGGTCGCCGCGACATCTTCCTTAAACCCAAAGTCTGCAAAGAGGGGATGGGGACACCTCCACCCTCCTCCTCCTCCTTTCCCCACCTTTGGCTTTTCCTACTACTAAAGCAACCCAGTGAGATGCCCCAGGAGGGATCCAAGGTGCCCCCCCCCAACAAGCTCCTCTCCCCTCCGTGCAGGGGTCCGGCGACTCCAACCGCGCCAGATGTTTTTGCAACTGCACATCTGGGAACAATCAACCCCGAAGAAAGAACACCACAGTCTCTCTCTTTCATTCTGCTAAACCCCACCTTCCCCCAGCCTTTCCCCCCTCCCCCAGCTTTTTTTTTCTTTTTCCTTTCTTTTTTTTTTTTTTTTTAAGCTCTCCAGTTGCCAGAGAGTGGGAGAACAAAGGGAATATGAAAGGATTCAAATTTTTTTTGGCCCTCAACCAAAGGTAAAAAACTCCTTTCCCCCATCCCCGTTTTCACACATCGCATTTTCATTAGGGTCCCATCCCCCCCGGGGGGGGCAAAATAAACATAAACATTAAAATATCCCTTTTCTCCAGTCTCTTTCCAGGATGGAAAAAAAAAAATGCAGCTTCCTTCAGACGTTAGGGTATTTTTAGACTTTTTGAAGTGGTTAAAAAAATCTACTACAACAGCTGTCAGGCTGCAAAGATTGGGTCCCCCCCGTGGCTGCTGGCTCTTCAGCCCCCCCCCAAAATAAGGTGGCTTTTCTTTTTATGAGATTAAAAAGGTTGAAAACAGCTTTTGTGAGCTCGCCTGCCCCGACCGATGGGAGTTTTTAAGGCGACTTTGCAAAGCCCCAAAGATGGGGTTCAGTCCCATCTGCTGCTGGGGGGGTCCCCCAGCATCCCTGCCTGATGCAGGGGGCTGGGATGGGGGGAATCTCTCTCGCCTGGTCCTTACCGCTCTGGGTGTTAGTGCTGGTTCTGCCCTTGCCCACCGCCTTGGTCTCTTCTCTCTGCTTTCAAAAACTCCGAAATGAGAGTTAAAAAAAAAAAAAAAAGCCCCAAAAACCTCCTACCTCCAACATGGGGGATCCGCTGGGTCCTAATGCCACACCTGAGCCGGCCCCTTCCTCCTCCCAAATTGCTGTCTGATGGGGGAAAAAAATAATGATAATAATTAAAAAAAAAAAAAAATCAATAAGCGCATATCGATGCAATGGTCGGCAGGGCTAGCTTGGTTTTTTTTTTTTTCCCAGCTGGATGAATTTTAAATTGATTGTAAATACAAGGAGAGAGGAGGATTTTGTGCAGCGCCAAGCACGCCAGAACAATTTAGGCTGGGTTTTGTGCTGCTGGAGGGTGAGATGAAAAGATCATGCCAGGGCATTGCTCTATGATCTTGGCTGCTCTTGGGGAAACTGAGATAAAACCCCCCAAAATTTGGGATCCTGGGATCCCAATCACCCCTCCTAACTCCAAGCTCGGCATTAGCGCTCAATCTGCCCCCTGAGCAGCAAGGATGCTGTAACCCTGCAGCAGATTTAAAGCTTTACCCCAGGATAAAGAAAAGAAAAAAAAAAAAAAAAAAATCCCCTTTTTTCCCACCCAGGCTGAGGATGCTGGAGCAGATCTGCAGCCCCTGCGTGGCAGCAGAGCCAGCATTGCTGACCGTGGGGCCCTCTTTCCCCTGGCTTGCTGGCTGCTTTCCGGAGGACGCGGGATGCTGGCTGCATCCCGGCGAGGCTGGGGATGCTCCCCTAAAAACCCCAAGCCCGGCAGTGACACCAAGCCTGGCGCTGGGGGATAAAAACCTGCAAATTTTAGGCATGTTCGAAACGAGCAACGGAGCAAACGGAGGGTGCTCTAGGGCTGGGATGGAGGGAGAAGCTCTCCAGAGACAGCTAGCAGCGTGCAGAGGGATGGGGATGAGCAACGGAAAGGAGACAGCAGACTTTTTTCACCCATGGGACAGGATTGCCCCCACTGCCCCAAGCCCACAATCTGTTGTGCTGAGGAATGAGCATTTCTGCAGCCAAGAGAGGGTCTGACTGCCCTAAAAACAAGGAGAAAACACAGTTTCAGATGAGGAGGAGAAGCAAAGGGGTTTTTAAGGTGCTCCCATCTCATATCAAGTCTGGTTTTCCAGTCTGAAGGATGAACAAAACCATCCAAAGGACTCCAAACACATCTAATAGCTGCTCCTGTAAAGCTTCTGCCTGCCCCAAACCCCAGCATTGTCCTTGTCTCCAGTCCTGGTAACCTCTAGCTAAGGGCAGGAGCTGCCTGTTAATAATTAAATGGACTTTGCAAAACCCCCTGAGGCCCGAAACACCCTGCAAAAAACAGCCAAGTAAAACACCCTGGTGAGAGGGGGGAACCGAGGTGCAAATGGGTCCCTCACACCTGGGTACCTTTTGCTTTTAAAATTGCCAAGCACAGACAAAAATCTCCAAGGGTTGTGGTGGGTTTTTTTTTTTTTTAAACTCAGGAAGCCTGGTTTAATAACTCAAGCCTTGGCTAGGATTTCAGGAAACCTCTTACCTCTGCTTGTGCCTCATTTCCTGATCTAATCCCCAGCTCCCGGAGGGCAGAGGCGCCGCTGGCGCTCGGAGGGGTTTAGACTTTCCATGCAGGCGAGTCCCCACAAGAACCAGCCTTCGATCCAAGAGCCGGGCTTGGAAGTGGCCAAAAACCCCTTGGAGAGCGATGCAGACAGTGCATCCCCCCTCCCCGGGCATCGGCTCTTCCCCTTTTGGGATGCGGCATCTCCAGCTACCGGCTTCTCCTCTGTTGAAGAAGCAAGGTTTTGCAGTCTTGGCGAGGACACCTGGGTTTTTCCAGCAATTATTTTCTAGGAAATTCCAGCTGGAAACAGGCTCAGGGGTTATTTACTCGCTGATGCTTGGTTTGGGCTGCTGAAATCCCAGCGGTGCCGTCCCTGAGTTCACTGTCTGCTTTCGGGCATCGAGGACAGCATCTTCCAGCCAAAATAGAGAATGAGGTGACCCTAAAACCTCTTTCACCTGCTCCCCTGCTCCATCTGATACTCACCCGCGCTGTCAATGCTGTCCTGCCCCAAGCACTCCATCCACGCCAGGCAGCACAAGCAAGCAGTCAAGAAAATAGTGTTAATTTATTAGACAATGCTCACGACAGCACCATATGGAAACTGAAAGCCGTATGTCATTCTCCCGACTGCACTTACACCTCGATGCACTGGAGTAGAGTTAAAAAATAAAGAGACTCAGGGGTTTTTTTAATGCTACAAAGGACCTGTCCGAAAGCAGAAGTGCTCTGCAGGAGCATCGCAAGCGGAGAGGGTGCCTGTGGCTGGTCCCTGGGCGTTGGGGATTGAGCAGCATCCTTGGCAAGCCAGGGATGGGGTGGTTTGTAAACAGTTCCTACACATCTAGGGTGGCCGTAGGGGAAGGTGGAGGGTTTGTTTTTTTTTTTTTTTCACAGTGAGCAGGGACACGAGGCTGGGGTGGGTGCCCTTGCCATGAGAAGATCAGGGACCCTCTTCCTGGTGGTTTTGACCAGCCAGGAAGGGAAAAGGGAGACGGTGTCCCCCTACAAAACAGTACTGGTGCTCAGCATGGGGAGATGGGTCCAAGGCCAGCACGGGAGTGGAGAGGTCCTGGAAGAAGAGCTGAGCTGGACCATTTCTCCTCTTCTTCTGGACCCTCTCCTCCAGTTTACTTCTCTAGCATCTCCTCCTCTTGGCCAGGACTGTGGGACCGGCACGTGCAGATTCACAGCTGTGATGCTGGGGGGTCTCCCCATGGGGAGGATGAGCCGCGCTGCCTACCGCATCCCTCGATTTACCAGGATAAATAAATAAACGACAGCGTCCAAGGTCTGGCAGGCAGCGCTGGCCTGCAGAGCAGGCAGGAAGGAAGCCCAGCACGTGCTATCTCACAGCGATGGACATCTTGGGTGTAGCAAAGAGCGGTTCGTTAAGGGGTGGCCAGGATGGCTGCTGTTGGCTCAGCTCCTTTTCCAGCCTCTTGAAAAGCTTCTTGGACACTTTCTTTCGGCGCAGCTTGCGGAGGCAGCTGAGCAAGCCGTGGTCCAGGGCGGTCTGCAGCAAATAAGGGGGGGGAGAACAGGTTTTGGGGAGGCTGTAGACCCCATGGAGGGGGCAGAGCTGATGCCAAGGTAAGCCCTGCTCCCTTCGTGCCCACGGCTCCTGGAAAAGGGGTTACTCAGACAGACCAAAGAGGATGACATGCGCCCCTCATGCGCCCAATGCCCACCCTGGGCCAACCTACCTCCAGCACGAAGGCGGCAAAGAAGTTGAGGGCAGCGATCCCCAGCAGCAGCAGCTTGAAATTCAAGTCATCGATGTCCTGCAGCTTCAGCAGGGTTTTGGGGAAGCCCAGTGGGTAGAGGGTCAACCATATCATGAGGCCAAAAAGGAGGATGAGGACTACCAAGAATAGCACTGAGGGCGAGAAGGAAGAGGGTTGAGGAGGAGAATGGTTTGATGTCTCTCTTTGCCCACGTGGCCAGCATCATCCTCACCATTGGTGTAGAGTGGCTCCCGAAATGGGTACCCCTTGGACATGGCGATGGCCAGGATGAGGTACTGAAAGCCCGTAACACAGAAGAGGACTGTGTTCTCGTAGTTGGGCAAGTTTTGGGGAGCTGTCACTGTGCTGTTCAGCGGCACGTACCTGAGGCAGGCAGGGGAGAAGGCAGAGGGTCAGATTAAGCGAGGCAAGGAGAGGGTCTAAATGCCAAGCCCTTGTTCTCCGTGAGCACATGGGAGCCATCCACTGCAAGGTGGCTGGACACATCCTTGATGCCAGCCAGCATTGGCCAAAACCAAGAACAAGTACCCAGGCTTCACTGCAATCCTCTGCGCTGTTCCCATCATTAAACCCACATGAAGCTGGGTCTCTTACCAGCTCTGCGAGATGGTGATGAAGTAGCTGAGGACTTGCAAGGTGATCAGCAAAGCCGTTTGGAGGAGCAGGCTGCCCAGCACGAGGATGCTGATCAACGCCCCTTGGGGACGCTCCACTCCCAGCTCCTGGGCAGGACCGGTCCGACCCATCAGCACCGCCACGGTGGTGGTGATGATCAGGTCGAAGAAGAGGAACTGGAAATCGCTCAGGTTGGTGTTGATCTGGGAAGGAGAAATCACCTGCTCTCAGTGCGGGGCTAGGAAAGGGACAGGTTAAAATGCAGCAAGGACAAGGTGACCCAAAGGCATCCTTGAGCATCGCATGCATTCGGGCAACCATGGGACTCACTGTGTAGAGCAGCAGGACGGACACAAACTGCACCAGGCTGTACAGGGCCATGTACTTAAAGACACCAAAGGAGGTGACCAGTGAGCACCTGCCCTCCCTGCAGAGAGAGAGAGAGATTCACCCACCAGCCACAACACACTTTCCATGAATTGTCCCAAAGAGGGGACAGACACACTCAGGAGACACCCACCCTAGTTTTTATCCCCCACCACAAGGCTCCTGGCAGCTCACCGGATGACGGTGGGCACGCACTCGATGTTGGCCACGCGGGAGGTAAATGGTGAGGCTACTGATGCCTCTGCCTCTGACAGCGAGATGCCCACGTCGGCAGCCTTCAGAGCCCCGCAGTCGTTGGCACCGTCCCCGCACATCCCCACGCAGTAGCTGCGGCGAGAAGAGATCCAATATTTCATGACAGGACGGGGGAAAAAGCCCTGGGTCTTCAAGGTCACACCCCTGTATTTAGGATCACCCCACATCTGGGAGAGGGTGGGATGTGATTTCGCAGCTGCCAACCACGCTGGCACACAAGAGAAGTCTCTGGGCAGAGGACTAACCCCCTTGCCCTCCTCTGTCCTCCATCCCTTGGGGCTGACGGGGCTTACTTGAGCTCTTGCAGGCTGCACACCAGCTGAGTCTTCTGGTCAGGCGACATGCGGGCGAACACGGTGGCTCGGATGAGGATCTGCAAAGGGAGAAAGGCTCCGTGTTCATATCACAGCACCTTGCATCCCTGAGCACCCAGGAGGAGCCTGGTTATTTTGAGCTTTCCCAGCTCGGCAGGGCAGAGGGCATCTTGTACTGGCAAAAAAAAAAAAACCCCTCAGGGCATTTTGTTTTGCAGCTGCGAGGCTGCAGCATGAAACCCCGGTGAGGTCAACCTTGCTGGAGGATTCCCTGCCGTCGGACTCACCTTCGGCAGCAGGTCGGCGAAGTGCTCGCAAACCACGGCGAAGGATTTGCCATTCAGTGCGAAGTGGCAGGGCTGTGGCTGGAGAAAGCAGCCGTCTTGCTGGTGCAGACCCTGCCAAGGAAAACAATTCCTTTTTCTGCAGCAGGGCTTTGACTCGTGCTCAAATCCCTGCTGAGCCCCTGGGCAACGGTCTGAACCAGCATCCTCAACATGCATGGAGCAGGAGAGAAAGCAGCTTCCCTTAAACCTCAATTCCAGGCATACAAATGATGGTATTTTGGATAAAAAGCTTGTGCGATTGAGCCCTCCATGCCAAGCCTAGAGCAGGACCTGAACAGCACAGTGTTGGCTCCATCCAACAAGGCTGTTTGGAGCATCAACTCCAACCTGATGTGCTCCCAGGGAGAAACAGGAGCAGGTTATCTTCTCCTAAAGGAGGCATTTGACAAGGGGCAGAATCACATCCCTAACTGCCTCTAAGGGTAACGATGCTGGGAAAAGAGAGTCCTGCAAGGTGACAGGCAGTTTGGGCTGTACAAAACCCCCCAAAACATTGCCTCGGGACTCACCTCTGGCTGCTCTTCACCCTGGGAGTGCTCAGCAAGGATGAATTTCAGAGCAGCGGGTTTGTCATGGCTGGGCGGGGAAGCGTTGACGAAGATTACCTGCTCTTTCGGCTCCACCATGCGGCAGCTCTTGGCCACACTGACGGCTGTCAGCATGTTGTCTCCTAGCAGAAAGAGGTGGTGGGGCTGAGTAACAGCGAGCGGTGTTTGCTAGCCAGTGCTGGCAGGGTCTCGCATGGCTGCAAGCCAAGAAGAGCAGTTCAGACCTGCTGCATCCTCCCTTCCAGCCACCACAGGCACGTTGTGGGTCCCTTTGCTTTCCTGTGTTTTGGGGGAGAGCTCCAAAATCTCATTTCTGCCCTACCCCAAAGAAAGGCAGCAGCTTCAAACCCTGGCAGCGCTGCTTGCCTTGCTGCAAAACACCCGAAGGTGACTCCTACGTCTCCCACCGTTAGCTGTGCAATTCGGGGTGCTCACGCGATATCAACTTTTATGTGATCAGCAGTGAAACCATGAGCAGCTTTGCTGTTAAAGCCACCCACCCGGTGTCTGTGGGTTCATGCTGCATCCATGAAAAAGCAGCCTGTACCCTTCCGCACCCCGCCTGCTGTGAGCCCACTGGCAAAGCAATGCAAACAAGTAGCAGGGATGCATAAAACCAGGGTCCAGGAGTCCTTGCCATGCCTCCCAGCTGCTTCAGGCCACTGATTTCTGGTGGAGAAACCCTTCACCCCTTGGTACATCAACAGTCAAACGTGTCCCATCTCTTCCCTGAGCCCAGCATTCCCTCTGCAGGGTCACCTGTCACCATGACGGGGCGGATGTTGGCGTTCCTCAGGAGGTGAATCACGGGTGCAGACTCTGGCTTGAGGACGTTTTTCATAACGAGGAACCCCAGAAAGGTCAGGCTGCTCTCCACGGAGTCCCTGGTGGGATACAACGAGCCGTTCAACACTCCCTTCAACACAAGGCAGAGCAGATCCATTGGTACAAACAGCTAAAAATCCATCTGGGAGGCAGCCTGCAATTGCTTTAGTATGTGTTAGGGTTTAATTCCTTGCAGGCTGCTAGGATGGGGCAGGCTGCAGGGCAGCAAAGCATCCCATGAAATGCTCAGAGCAAACAAGATGTAAATGGAGAAAAAAGTTGTTGGCACTAACCTTGGGAGCTGCAGGGCCTCCTCAAAGGTGGTCACTGTGCTCAGGGGTTTGCAAGCCAGACCCAAGACCCGGAAACCATCCGTGGTGTAGTGTCGCAGCATCTGGGAGAAATCCACGGGCACTGCCAGCCACGAGGGGAAAAGCAAGGTCAAAATAGCTCCTGAATGAACCGTGGCTGCACAGACCCAGCAAGGGCAGTCAGGGCTTGAGCTCCCAAAGGACTGAAGGGTTCTGGATGCTCATCCAGACTCCAACCCCCTTCCCTGTCTTCTGGCTCCTATTTTCTTCCCCTGACGTGGCTGGAGCTAATCCAAAGCTCTGTGACTCTGCAAACTGCCCCGTGGCATGACCGAGGATAATTCCCTGTGGGGATGAGCTGCAGGGGTGCAGACGGATGATGGAGCAGCAGGACTGGCTGCTTCTCAGCTGGGGAGTGATAGTGAACCCCTGTCGCCCAGCACGTACCTGTTTCCTTCCTGCAAAGGCTGGCCACCATCTCTGGTGCACCCTTGATGTAGACATGGGCTGAGGCTTCGCCAGGCAGCTTCACCAGGACGCTCATCCTCTGCAAGGAGGAGGAGAAAGGGAAACGCCGGAGGATCCCCACGGGTGACTGGTGCTTCTGTGGAGGAGAGGGTGCAGGTGTCAGGGCCAGGCAGGAACTTCTCTGGGAGCTACAACCTCTCCAGGGGCTGTGAAGCACCTTTGGGAGTGCAGACCCAGTGACTTGGGGAACCTGAGCCACTCTGGTCCACAGGACCTACCCTGTCTCGTGGCTGTTCTTCCTCAGGCGGAGGTTTCATCACAGCCAAGACCTTCGTCCCAAACTGCTGGAAGGCGGGCAGCTCACCTTCCTCCTCCTCCATCATCTCCAGGTGCTGAAACCAAGGCAGATGCTGAGATGGCAAAGCCCCACCTACCCCACAGCAGCCTATGGATGGTTTAAACACCCCTGCTCCTGGCAGAGCAAAATGTGTGCCACCTCACTCTTCACAGATAAGCAACTTTGCCCACTGCTTGTCTTACCCAGCCGGTGGACTCCACCATCTTGAGGTCCACAGGATCCCCGATGGGCTGTGTCCGCAGCAGTGAGATGGTGTGGCAGGTGGCCAGGGAGTAGAGCAAGGGACCGGCGGGCAGGCAGCGGGGCTCGTGGACGATGGGCATGAAGTAGTTGTTCTCCAGCGGGACCACCCCCCAGACATCCAGACCTTCCTCCGTCAGGGTTCCTGTCTGCGGGAAGACCGTGGTGGGTTCAGGCCAGCCCCCTGAGCTGGAAACTGTGGTCCCACAGCACTGCCCGAGACTCACCTTGTCGAAGCAAACCAGGCGGATCTTCCCGCAGAGGTTGATACGAGGAGGGCTGATGCAGAAGATGCCCTGTTTCTTCAGCCTGTTCTGGGCGTAGATGGTGCCCACTGTCATCGCAGCTGGGAGAGCTGGGGGCACGATGACAGTGACGAGATCGAGGGCACGGATGATGATTTGCCCCACGGGGACCTGGCAGGTGAGGAGGAAGAGGAGTGGGCATCCTGATAGCCCTCACCCATCTCCACTCGCATCGGCTGACAGTCCCAGTGCCAGCCTGCACTCAAGGATTCACCAGCTCCAACAACCCTACCTGGTTTTTAACCAAGATGAGGATGCTGTACAGTGTGCCGATAAAAGCTGTGTGCGAGAGAGAATGGGCTTGGTTACAAAGCAAAGCAGGTGAAGGGTGGGTTCAACCATTTAAGAGGAGCTTGGCTGCTCCTGGCTGTGCCTCCACACTCAGACGTACCCAGGATTGCGAGGAACAGGACGAACTTCACAGCATCCTTGTAGAACTTGAAGCTCACGGGTTTAGGGTAGAGGATGGAGCTGATGAGATCCCCTTTGGCTGTGCAAAACCCTGCAGGAGAGGGGCAGAAGGTAAGCATGTGCAAAGTCACCGCTCCGAAGGATGCAGCTTAAGCCCAGCTTTTCCCCTCAATCCATTACCTGTGCGGGTCACCACAGCCAGCACTTCTCTGCCCACATAGGACTTGGCTTGGATGACCTGCGTCCCACAGAACAAGGTGTGCCGCCTGTGCTCCTCGGGGGAATAGATAGTGGTGGCTGCCTGGCTGCCAGCCGGGAGAGGGGTTTTCATCACCGGCACGCTCTCCCCTGCGGTAAGGAACACCATGGAGGGAGGTTCATCACCCTGGGGGGTCAGGGTCCAACCAGCCTGGATGGGAATGGGCTGCCGTAGGGCCACTGAGATACAAGGCTCATCCTCTCCCCCAAAATCCCAAGCAAAAGCTGGGGTGGCAGAGGCGTGCAGTGGCTCTTACCTGTCAGCATGCTCTCGTTGACCATGCACTCGCCCGTCAGCAGCGCGGCATCGCAAGGGACCAGCATCCCATCTGTTGGGAGGCTGATGCAATCACCTGGCACCAAGTCTGCAGAGCTCACTACCATCTCCTCTGGAAAAAAGTGCGCCGTGCTCAGACACATCATCCTGGCACCATCCCAAACAGCTTCACGCCAGGAGCCCTCGCTCATCATGGGCATCACACTCACCTCCGCTGGGGCGATGGACTCGGACACCGACCGACATCTTGGCCATGTTTTGCAGTGTGGCACTTTGCTGCAAGGGAGGGAGCAGTTAGCAGCCACCCCAGGGCAGCTCAAAAAGCACAGCAAAGCATCCGTAAGGCAGGTCTCAAAGGCTCGGGACCACAGATGAAGGACAAGGAAACCTGCCCCACCATTGGGAGTATGGGCTGTCCTCACCCAGCTGGGCTCAGAGGAAGTTCAACATCAGCACAGAGGTCAAACACCATCAGAAAATGGGCTACTTCACTAGAGCTGCTTGTCCCAAATAAGCTCATCACCAACCTTCCTCGTCTCATAGAGGGACAGCCCTAAGGAGATGGTAGAGATGAGGAAGATGCAGGCAGCGTAGTAGTAATAGGCATCACAGACCCACAGCACAATGCTGAAGACTTGGAAGATGTAGAAGGGATTGAGCACCTGGAAGGGAACAAGCAGAGAGAGAAGTTTTTTGGGGGGAGGGCTTCCTTGAGCCCATCATGAGACCTCCAGGCTCCTTGAGGAAAAACTGCTTATGCAGAGGAGAAGCTGGCCCTTCCCTGGGGCTGGAGATGAACTAGCTGACTTCTTACAAACCCTTCATCCTTCCCCGGCTTTGCTTACGGTCAGTATTCCTGAGGATGCTCAGCCACCTCTGCAACTATCTGGGGATGCTCCTGTCTGAGCTAAGAGGCAGGATGGGTCCCGTCCACAGCTGTACCAGCTCTGCCTTCTCTGATCTCTGCCCAGGCTGCCTCTCCTAAAGTCCTCTCCTCCCTACCAGAGAGGAAGGGCCCATAAAGCACTTGCAGTAAGGGACACGGAGCAGGGGAAGGATCTGCCCTGGGACAACTTGCTCTTTTGAAGCACAGCCCATAGATGCACACCTCCTCCACCAACAGCCTTGCGTAGGACTTGACTGGCACCTCGATGAGGTTCGGTCCATAGATCTTCCTTCTGCAAAGGGGAGAGAAAAGCAAGGGGGAAGGCAAACGCATGCTAGGGAAAAGCTGCATTTCCAACTCGAGGGACCCTCATGCTGCCCAGACCTCCATGTGAGTCCAATTATGTGAAGAAGCCAAGCCAGGGCAATCCAGCCCACCTAGCTGTCCTTGCTTTTGAGGTCTGAACGCAAGAAAAACCCAGGCTCCAGGATTTGCTGGTCCCTGGAAAAGCCTCATCTGCGCTCCCCGGGTAGGTCCCACGAAGCTGGTAGATCCCTACCTGGTGTTGTGGTCTTGCTGGTCGAGCCCAGCCTGGGAGAGGTGGAGATCTGTACAGGTCCAACCTTCATCCAAGACGCTGGCAAGTGTGAAGGGAAAGCAAAACAGAGAAACAGAGTCAAAAATCAGCAGGAGCCTGGCCCTGTGGAACAAACACCATGTCCAAGTTCTTGGTGAAAAAAAACCACCCTTTAGGAAAGGGAGAGCATCTTGTTCCTCAGCCTCTGACACAGTTCGCGGGCACCAAGGAGCGGGAACAAAAGGGGCACAGTTCGGAGAGCTGCGAGCGGCACAGCGCAGTGAGGACCATCCAGCATGGGGCAGCTGCCAAACTACTTCACCCGGTTTCCTCTGCCCACAAAGACAGGCAACATCAACAACTTGGGGGGAGAGGCAGCACAGCTTCTCTGGCCCAACGCTCTAGGGATGGTCTCCAAAGGCTTTGCAGCACAGAGAAAAGCTCAAGTGCGGTTATGTGACTTCCAGCCGGGCAGGACCATTTTGGGGGAGCTGAGGGGCCAAGGAGAGCAGCCGAGAGATGCAGAGAGGTTTGCTGTGGCAGGGGGGGACAGAGAAATACCTGACTTTGCAGTATGCCTGCCGCCGTTCGATCCAGATGTAGCGCATGCCCTCGAAGAGATAGTACCGCAAGATGTTCTTCTGAGCAGAGGAGGACAGAAAAAAATAAGGTATTTAGCAGGATATGAGGGCAGCCCACACCAAGGGAGAGGATTTGCAGGGTGGTGGGTGGGAAGGGTCGCTAGCGTTACCTCTTCCTTCTCATGCAGCCGGATGGTGTCCCGGCTCTCCTCCTCATCCGACACGCCGATGGCGATGCTGCTCCTCCGGTCCTCCAGCTTGGCCCCAGGGTGATGCTCCAGGCTGCTCGGGGTGGAAAACCAAGGGTCAGTCCTTCCCCATCCACCAGCGCTGCTGCAAACACCCCCCCTCCCTTGAAGCCAAAAGCACACGCAAGCCCCTGCCCGCCGGCATCTCTGCGGGGACGTGAGCCCAGCTCACCTGCCCTCGCCCAGCGCCTCCGTGTGCACACGTGTGGTGAAGCACTGTCCAAATCGGTCCTGCAACACAGGCATGGGTCTGAGCAGAGGGAAAAGGGAAGCTCCCCGTGTGTCCTCCCTGCTCCTTCAAACAGGGACAGTGTCGCAGGCAGGCAGGGAGTCCCCGGCCACCCGTCCCAGATGACAGCTGGGTTTCAGGGACGATAAATAAAGAGAAATGCGAAACCAGGCTGGCTGCTACAGAAGGGGAAAGTGCAAAATTATTCCAGGAATAATAATAATTCCTGGAATAATCTGGCTCTGAGGTAGCGCATTGCTTGATGAAAGGAGACGTCAAACACAATTAGGGAGGGGAGGGTGACAAGTAGCAAGGAACATGCCCGGGGCCATCCTGGGAAGCCAGTGGCAGAGCCCAACCCCAGAACCCTGGGTCCCCTGGACCCCTCTGGGGACTTACTCTGATGATTACCCAGTCAGCCTGGCCGAGGGCGCAGGGCTTGCACTTTGCCTGCACCTCCAGGCTTGGCTTCCAGTGGAAAAGGACAAGAAGCAGCCCTGCCGTCAGCACGGAGCAAGCATGGCACAGGGCCACCCGCCACGTCTTGGTCTGGTAGCCCGTGACCTCCTGGAAGAGAGGAGGTCACCTTTACAGGATGCTTATTCATAAAATAAACTGAAATTAAGATTATCTAGCATCTAAATCCTAAACTGATAAAAGCCCTAAGCCTCCTGGCGTGGCTTAACACCAGGCAGGTGACAATCAAGTAGCTTTGGGGCTGGAAAACCACCATCTTGTGCTGGTGTTGCAGATAACACATGGTTTTTGTGCCAACCCAACCCTGGCATGCCTTCCGCCCCGCGGTGAACCCTCAGACCTACCATGCGGGATTTATCGGCGTCTCGCTGCAGCGTCCCGTAGCCTGGCCGCTGGTTCCCCAGCAGCCTGCTGCTGTCTGCAAAGTCAAAGAACAGGGCAAAAAATAAAGGGAGCTGATCTGAGGGGTTATTTAGGAGATGCCACAGTGATGGGCTCCCAGCTGCAGCGATGACATCCCCGGATCAGTCCCAGAAGGCGGCTGGACTTGGTGTCCCCTCTGCCAACCACCCTGGCTCCCGGCAGAGCCGCTCAGGGCCACCTCTGCCACGCAAGGGGATGCTGCGGGCACGGGGCACCCCAGCGCTGCCCAGTCACCCTCCCACGGCACGTGACGGTCACACGAACAATGCCAAAAGAGCCCGAGGAGAAAAGCTGGCACAAAAACAGCGGCTTAGCAGCCGGGGGAAGGGAGCAGGGCTGGTGCAGAGCCAGGTCAAGTACAGGGAGAGCTCTCCCTGCCACTTTTCAAGCTTGTTTGTTCCTTGTGTTCCCCCCTGCATGGAGGACGCGGCCACAAAAAAAAATTTGCTTTTTCTAGTTTTAATGATGCCCAGCGCGGCTCAGCACCTCCGATTCACGTCACTCTCTACTGCACCCCGATGACCAGCCTGGGAGACAGGGATCGCTGGAGGCATTGCCGTAATCATCCCAGGTGGGATTTTAATCATCACCCTCTGTCCCATGAAGTTAGAACCACTTATGCCCTAAATCCACGCCGGATTACAAGTCACGGCGTCCAACTCCGGGATCTTAAAGCAGCAGCGGGGAGATAACACGTAGCACAAACACAAACCCAGGAGCTAGTTCCCACCCTTGGAGCTGGCAGATAATTTTCCTGGCTGGGCTGGGTTCAGATTTCCAGGAGGGCACTCCGACCGGCTTAACGATTTACACACCGGGTGGGAGCCCATGTACCCGTCCTCTGCCGGAAAAGCCACCCTGGCTGGATTCCTGCCGCTCCCTGGTCCGACCCTAGAGCTCGTCTGCAGGTGACAAAAGGAATTAATTAAAACCATCCCTTGGTTTTGATGACTACCAGGGATGGGGTCTCCATCTCACCAAGCGACCCAGTCAGTAGCCAGCTCCCAAAACACAGCCGGTGCCGCTCCAAGGGATAAGTTCCAGGTTGAGGAAGGAGGGGGATGAGCACAATGGATGGCTTATTAAAACAAAAGCTCTCCCAGGAGCCAAAAGGAATGGCTGTGAAGCTCGCAAAGGGCCCGCGAGGAGGGGAGATGCCAGATTTCCCCGCTGCCGGTGTCAAACTCTGTGAAAAGCATCAATTCCAGGTTAAACGAGGCCGGGAGCGGGTGCGGGAGGGCGAGAAGGAGCGTGTGCCGCCCTTCAAAAGAGCAGAACAAAGGAGAGGGTGAGGGGCTGCCTTGCACAAAGGCTTTTCTCCAGCGCTGTCTGCAGGGTTTGCAGAAGGGGGAAAGTATCGAAACAACCTGAAAACAGCCCAGTTAGCTTTCTGTACCTCCCCAAACCAGGCTGCGTAGCAAGAAGCACAGCCCACCTCTCCGCCTGAACTCTGCTGTTAGCAACAACAAAATTATTACGACTTCCTTGATCCTATAAGCAACAAATCTTTTGGAGGAGCGCACGACCACGGCTGCAACCGGCTCTGTCCTGCAGAGCTGCGGCTCTTGCACAACCCCATCCCCATCCCTGTTGGTTTTCTCACCTCCCACTCCCATCCCAGCTGCTCCCCAAAACACGGCGAGCGAGAAAGAGCTCTCGCCTTGACTCACCGCACCTTAACCCGCCGGTTGCGCAAGCGGAGCCGTTCCCCGTTGGGATGGGATCGGTACAGCCGTCACCACCTGCCCGCTGGCGGACGTGCCCAGGAAGAATCCGGCACTGGTGGAGGGGAGGGCAGAACGCCATGGAGCTGCGCTACCAGTTTGAATTGCGGCGCAGCGGCCACAACTCGTCAGCAAACACAGCGTGGGGGCACCTGGCTGTCCCTCCTCTGGCTCCCAAAGCTGGAGGGTTTTACCCCTGAGCTTGTCTGGAGAGCCCTGGGGAAGAGATTTGCTTCTCTTTCTGCTGCTAAAGGGGGGCTTAAGGGGGAGATAACAGCCAGGAGCGGTGGCAAACTCAGGGAGGGGTCAGCAATGCACCAGCCCAGCTTGCAAAGGGAAGAGTGGAGCCACAATTCCCCACTGATGCCAGGTTTGCCCAGCCAAAACGCTGCTTGAAGTCCCAGCTGCCTGGCTCCGAGAAGAGTTTGTGCCCTGTCTTGCACCTTTCAGAGAATGACCACGCGTCCCTGCTATCAAGGTTGGGGGGAAAACTGGGGAGAAAGATGCTCAGGATGCCCTGACATCTAGCACGTGTCCTAGCAGGAAAGGACATACCCTCTGACGCCAGAAAGCAGAGTTGGAAACCTTGAGCCCACGTGTCTCGTGGCACTGAACACCCCTCTGCAAAGCTGCCCTTGCTGGGGACCATTTGCGAACGCCAGCGCCGGTCCTTGCCCTGAGACTTCATCCCAGGACACAGCCTTTCTCCCCAGCAGCACACACGCATCAAAAGCGGATGCACGCTGGTCCCAGAGACCTTCTCCACAAGCTCCCTTTGCAGTCACGGCCCTTTTACAAGCACCTTGCTTGAAGCAAACAAACCCCAAGGGGACTTTGAGATCTCCCTCCACGCTCACGGTCCCCGTTGGATGCTCAGGGCTTCCTGAGCAGCATCCTCCATCCATCTATCTATCTATCTATCCACCCACCCACATGTGCAGGCTAGAGATCGCATGCAAGAAGAGGAAGGTCCACCCAAGGAGGTTACTGCTCCAGCTAGCAAGGTCTGGTGCTGTCTGGTTGACAGGATGGTGTTGACAAGGTCAATCTGGGCCCTTGGAGATGGGGACATGGAAAATCGGGATGAGGCAAAAGTAAGGAAGGAGGGAGGAGGAAAGGAAAATGGCGTTTGGGTCACGTAGGGCAAGATTTAACTCAGGAGGATATTTCAGAGCAGCCTTCAGGCTCTAGTTGGGGATGGGAGATGTCACGGTCGGCTGCAAGCCCAGACCCAGTGAGGGGTTGGGATGAGATGGCGTCAATTCTCCTGCCATTTCTACCAAGCCAACATAAACCTGTCTGCACAAGCCAACGGGAGAGAAACATGCCATTCTGCCTGCCACGCAGCCGGAGCAAACGTGTTTTACCAGGCGGTCTGGTCCTACCCAGACATGGCAGCATCCACTGGGGGAGCACAATTGGAAAAACGCCCCAAGGCTGGAAGAAACAAAAGGATGAGACAGGCTCATTACAAGGTGGGACATGGAATATGGGGATTCAGGCTCTGCTGTTGCTAGTAACGCCAGGGGAATCGCTCTTGTGCATCAAACCTTTGAGATGGGAGAGAAAACAAAGTCCTTGTAGGCAAGGTGCCCTCCCAGTAGCCCTGTCCACCTCAAACTGGTGGCTGAGGCAACGGCAGTCAAACCTTTCCAGCAGGGCGGGTTTCTCCCCCACCCCGGACAGGCATCGCCCTGACCTCTCCTGCACCCAGTTTTGTAAGACCTCGCTGTACGCCAAAACCACCTGCCGAGCTGGAGATAAGCGCTCGGCAGCTTCAGGGAGCATCCTCGCTTGGGCAACCACCAGTGAGGGGGGCAAAAAAAGGTTGTTTATATCCAAACCCCACATTTTCCTCAAATGCTGGTTAAATAAAGTGCTCCTACCTCCCTTAGGGAGAGAGAGGCTGTGTTCCTCGCAGCCCATCATCTCCATTTTGGTGTGTTAAGCCAGGATTAGAGCATCTCCTGTCTCTTAAGCTAGCCTCCCAGGCTGGCAGCGTTAAACCTGAGTACCCTTAAGAAGCACACGGGGAAAAAAGGGGTGAGGTTTAACCCCCCCGAGTGCTGCTATGCTGCAGATCTGGAGCAAAAGATGGGCAAAGGGGTCCAAGGGGCTGTCAGGGGGATCAGCACGGTGGCAGGGACCATGGTGGCAGGGACCACAGCCGGGCAAGCCCCACGGAGCCAAGTCCAGGCACCCAAAAAGCCCTCTGATGGGTGGCCAGCCGTGGTGCAGTCACACTCCTCCCTTTCCTGCCACAAAGCTCTTCCTCTCGCCCCTGCGCCGCCTTCGAGAAACTCCTCTGTGCCAACCAGGGCAAACTCAAAAGGAAACGGGTAAAGGTTGCACAGGCTGCACTAATTCTGCATGCCCTGGAATGAGAAACGCTGCTGGCACGAGGGATGCAGGGCACCTCAGATGCTTTCTCCAGTGCAATATCACACCCAACACTAGGCTGAACCTAAAGCTGTATTTTTCGGCCTCTTCTGAATGCCTTGATGCCTGTCCTCCCCTGCCAGCTTTGACCCTGCAAAGGGTCTTTTGGCTGAAAGGCCAAGCTGTGGTCAGCAGCGATACCAATTCAGGGCTCGCTTACCCGACATCACATTGCAACCTTTACCAGCACAAGAAAACCTCGGGACTGCTCTGCTCATGGGGTCAGAAAGGCAACACAGTCCTTCACAACCTTAAAATCCACCCCGATCTCCATGATGCCGACTAAAGACGCCGCAAAGGGGTGCTTGGCTCCAGCTGCAGACCCCAACCCGCTCGGAGCCTCCCCGAACACCAAGTCGGATCAACCTGCTTGCAGGGAAGCAGCCCCCGGCAGGCTGCAGGGATTCAGCCATGGGGTTCGGTGGGCTCAGAGCATCCCAAAGCGACGCCTGGGTTTCGTTGCCCCACGTCTCGCGTGGATCAATCGGCGCACGCCTTAGCACA